CCCCAAAACCCCAAAACCCCAAAACCCCAAAACCCCAAAACCCCGTTCCTTATCCGGAATAGCTCCAATATTTACTTCAAATATTCATGAAGGATAAGAGTGGGTATTATTAGCGATGAGCTTCTCTGCTAACGTCAGGTTTGTTCATGAATGTGTAATTTCATAAAATATCTATAACACCCATAAAATTCCTATACTCTTGAGATTTCTGTTTGGTGCATTGAGATATCCAAGCTTAGATTAGTTAAAACACATTTTAGGAACAAATATCTAAAGATTAAGAGAGAGACAGATTTTGGACTGGAATTCATGAGGCAGATTTGATGCATTAACTCTTCAATCATCAGATTCTCTACGATAATCTTTGAGGTGGTTACTCTAACTGATTAGAAACTAGTCTGGATACTTTGCAACTCTGATAAATGTATTATGAGGCTTACAGATGTCTCTAAGTCTTTTCAGAGTATTTGTCTGGATTCTTCGAGTTATCATAGAGGTCGTTTAAATAAGTACTACATAGATGAAGTTGACTGTAGCTTCTGATTTGAACAGATATATGTACTTCTTAATTATTGTAGCTCAAGTTCCCATCCATTGGGGCTGAAATTATTTATGCCATCGAGCATGTCTCACAGTTTTAATAGGGTATATTTACATTTAAATTTGATTATGACAATATTGTCCTTTACGCTAAACTCTAATATTGTAGGCCTGCTTGAATGTAAAAATTAGTTCACTTAATAACAAAAAGAGAACTTATCTAGCTTAGAAGTTTATGAGGCAAAGAACCTTTATAGTAAATATTCAAAGTCTCACTGCCAATTTTAGAGAAATTGATAGAACCTTTGTCGACTCAAGTAACAATTTCAAAAAGCTACTCTCATTTTTCAAATTTTTGTACCCTTTCCAAAGACACTTTCTCATCAACTTTTTCATTCTTCAAGAAAACCTTTACTTCCAGAACTTAATCTAAATTGTCTAAAACTAGATCTTAAAAACCAAAGCAGTTGATGATTGCATTGAGAGGAGTTCTGAACTCATGGCTTGCACTCGCAAACATCACTCTCTGCATCTTGATTCGGTTCTTGGCTTTTTCGAGGTTGATGATGTCAGTTGTGTCGATGAAGACATGCATGACAGAAGGCTTGCCTTTCCATTCCATCCTGATAGATTTGGTTTCGAAGTTTCTTCTGAAGCGGTCCTCTTCATCGAAAATTTCATCCAGCATATTTGAGCGTTTGACTGGGATGTTATAAAATTATTGTGAGATCCAGTGAAGAACAATGAGTTAAACAACATCTAGAAGTCTTCAGAGTTGAAGTCAGACTTACTTGTCAGCAGACTTGTCTCAATCAATAATTGCGTGTTTCCTAAAATTTTGGCCATTTGCTTTGTATCAATGAGGATTCTCAGTAAGAAACTGTAACAAATCTCAGTGTTCACTTTGATTATTCATGGTTTTATCTGTCTTTAAAGTGACTTTTACTTGTTCAAGTCTCTGAATCTTGCGGTTCAGAGTCTTTATTGAAGCTTCGAACTGGTTGTTTGGATATCACTTAGACTTATCAGAGATTCTCTGAGGTAGTATAAGTACTGGATGAGGAAATTCTTGCATCATTTTAGCCTTCTCTTTGACCAACTTATTGTTCTTCAAGATAATTGAATACATATCAGCTAGTCTTGATTGCTCAATATAAGCTCAGAAACTCTAATAAAGAATTGAGGCAACTGTTGATAGTAAAATATAATTGTCGAGCTCTCCAATCTTTCTCCATATCAAATATAAGTTAAGAACATTTGTCAGAGTAAACACAATAGAGTTCAGCCTTTTTCTGGTTGAAATCAGCGCAGTCGTGAAATAAAATATCAATAAGTGTTTGAAAGATATCAATTCTGGTGCCCTACATAGTCTGAAACATTGTCAAAATGAGCTAGTATGAATGCAGCACAGTTGATGAAGCCGATGCAAATCTTCACATAGGAGAGAGGCTCTGAGATGAAATATATTGGGATTCATGAAAGTCCCAATAATATGAAGTTAGGAGCGGCATGCTCATGATCTTCTTGTGTCCTTGAAGACTTGTGAGACTAACAATGATCTGCTGAGCTTACCTTGATTATGTGAAATAGTACCATGAAACAGGAGGAATAGTTTTGGTTCTTAGATATCCACAATCTGAGATACAACGTAAATTCCTTGGGAAGACAAAGGATTCACTAATTTGAGGAATATTTCAGAGAAACGGTTTCAATGTCAGCTGTTTGTTTTGGGGTTTTGGGGTTTTGGGGTTTTGGGG